AGATGAAGTGGCTGTTGACCTTAAAGTCCCATTTCAGGGAACTCTGGAACATGAACTGTGCAGGGGGACAGGGACAGAGCTACTGTATACTCAGAAGACTTCCTCATCCGAGGCGTGCGGCTCCCTCACAGCAGTCTGTGTGCTTGGCGCTGGGTGATGCACAGGATCAAAGTTGACGAGGTGTCTGTCACACCTGACGTTATCAGGAGGTCAGTGATGATCTGTCACACCTGATGTTATCAGGAAGTCACTGATAATCTGGCCTCTGCGACTCTGGGCAAGGTTATTTAGCAGTGAGCACCTTAATCATATAGGTGCAGCTTGTGGCTTCTCTACCAGCAGTGGAGGGAAGTCACTGCCAAGAACATTCCAGAAGGAGCCACCCCAGGTGGTGTCGGCACGTATTAGGCTGGTGGCTACTGAGTCCTTTGCCCAGTGGTGGCTTCTCTCAGCCTTGCCTGTCACCCTCACTTTATTACTAGCATTTCAAGTCAGGATTTGTCGTGTGTATTTTTGTCTAGAATTGGTCATTTTATCCGGGGGTTATTTCAACACGATGCTCCAGCGTTACCAGCTCCTCGCAAGGATACTCTCAACATTTCTTCTGCTATATTTAGTACGAACCAGGCAGAGTGCCTGCCATGTGTCCTGGACTCGTTTGTCCCTGACGACACGGACTTTGGAGAAAATGTTGAGACCACTTTGAACTTCGAATTGGCCAAATTATATGTCGGGGGTGGGGAGGACAGGAAACCTGGAGGCAAGCTGGGGCAGGGTTGTGGTCTCCTCACTTGAGAAGGGAAAATGAGGGAGGAGGAGGAGGTAAAAGGTGATAACATCAACAAACTGGCACCAGGGCCACTGGTGTTGGGAGTAAAAGATACCCAGACCTCACTTCAGGAGGAGGGGGCAGTTCGGGTGATGGACAGGCTGAGAGGACTCATGTGGGACTAGGAGAAGGAATGGATGGCTCAGAGCCAGGCCCTTCATCAGACGAGGGCAGGATGGTTAATCCAGGGGCATGCACCTGGAGAGCGCAAAGGGCAGGTGGGCAACCCTGCAGACTGGAGATGTCCCCCACCCCCCTACTCTGGCTGGTAGAGCAGGGGAAGAAACAGTCTGTCCTGACAGGAGCATGTCAGGCCTCTTCTGTGCCACACACCCTGGTCACTCACCTGCCCTGATATGAAGGACATGTGCAAGCATGTCCAGTGGAGCCGGAAGGGCCTGGACCTGTGACTCCAGGCCACATTCTCATCTGAAACAAGTGTGCAGACAGAGCTGTGCCACTTTGAAGGCGGGCCGCAGGCACCGTTAAAGACGTGACTAGGGCGGGTCCTAGTTCGGTAGGAATGTGCCCTTCTAAGAAAGGGCATGTGTATAAGGGTGACTGTCCACACAGAAGCTCATTCTACACAGGGAGAGAGGAGTCAGGGCTAATCTACTGTCCCCACTCTAGGACTTCTGGCCTCTGGGACTGCAATGTTGTTCCGAGCCCTGCCTGTTGGACTGTCACGGCAACCCGGGCCAGTGAATATAGCCGACATGGGAATAGAACGGCATACGCTTTCCTTTCTGTAGGAAAGACACCATTTCAGGCAGAGGAGATCCACCGGCTTATCTGAGGCCTACTTCCTGTACACACCTGCAGCTGGATGAGTAGTCACGCCTGACTACCACAGCATTTGGCCTGATGTCCTCAGGGGCTGCAGGACCTCTGGACCACCTTCCTCTTCCCCAGAGGTCCTGGCATACTGCCAGCCTAGAGCCCACAACTGCCTAGCCCTCTACATCAGGCAGCTCTGCAGCCCTTGAACCCCAAGTACAGCCAGAGATCACCCTACCATTCATCCCACAGCTGTCCACAGGGGGGAGGGGAAGAGAGAGGAGGGGATAAAGATGGCTGTCACAGGAGGCGGACTGTGTCAAGCCAGGCTCAACAGCAGGGGTCTTCACACTACTATCATCAGCGCTCCTGGGACACCCAGTGCTAGGCTGGCCTGCTGTGCCCCAGATGTCTGTGCCAGTGCCCTCAGGCTGTCCTGACCCGCAGCCGCCCCTGATGGCGCAGCCATCCTATGCCCACCCTGCACAGGTGGCCACCTTCCGTCTGTCTGTCATTGGAGAAGAGAGGCAGCAAGGGTTCAGGACAGAACCGGACGGGGTAGGATGCCACTGTGCCTAAGGAGGCCTTTTCACAGCAGGACTAGGAGCTCGTAGATGTCAGTGGGGAGAAGCACAGGCCTGCTTCATGGGGTGCAGACTGTCTGTGTGGGAAGGGGTTAAGTGGAGTTGAGATTCAGAGAAAACACAGGTACTGAAGCCCCATGTACGATGAGACTACTCTGCCCTCCAACCGCTTCTCAGCTTGCAGATTATTAAGACTGTTGGCCTACACTGGGCAGTGGCTGCGCACACCTTTAATCCCAGAATTCAGAAGGCAGAGGCAGGTGGATTTCTGTGAGTTCGAGGCCAGCCTGGTTTACAACGCTAATTCCAGGACAAGTCTACACAGAGAAACCCTGCCTCAAAAAAACAAAACAAGAAACAAACCCGACCCCCACCAAACAAACAAACAAACAAAGCTGCTGGCCTAAAGTCAGGGGGTCCTTCATAAGGTGACGCTGGTGGTGGTACCACAGGTGTGGACATGACAATGGCAGTCATGGGGGAGTGGTGGTGATGGTAATGATAGTGGTGGCGTTGATAGTGATGACGGTAGTGACAGATGTGATGGCAGAAGTGATGTGAGTGGGGGTAGCGACAGTGTTGGTCGGTGGGGAAGACGGTAGTGATGGTGGTGAGGACGGTAGTGATGGTGGTGAGGACGGTAGTGACGGTGTTGGATGGTTGGGAAGACGGTAGTGATGGTGTTGGTCGGTTGGGAAGACGGTAATGATGGTGGTGAGGACGGTAGTGATGGTGTTGGTCGGTGGGGAAGACGGTAGTGATGGCGGTGAAGACGGTAGTGACGGCGTTGGACGGTTGGGAACACGGTAGTGACGGCGCTGGACGGCGTTGGGCGCTGGACGGCGGTGAGGACCGTAGTGAGGGAAACAGTGCTGGCATGCTGGTGGTAGAAATGGAGGTGGTGGGTTGTCAGTGGAGCCAGAGGTGATCCAGCCAGGGAATGGGAGAAGGAATGGCTGCAGGGAGGCGGCAGCAGCTGGATGGATAGCGGTGGGGTGCGGGTGGCTATGGAGACAGTGATGGTGCTGCGGGTAACGAAGACGCAAGTGGCGGACATGCCCCTGGCCCCGGTGACTGGAGAGATGGGTGATGGCGGCGGTGACTGGAGAGATGGGTGATGGCGGTAGTGCTGGGGGGGGGTACAAGCGACGGTAATGGAGGGTGGTATCGGGACTGTGGAGGGGTAGCGGTGCAGGGGACGGCAGCAGTGACGTGCTGGAAGCGGTGGGCGGGCACAGAAGCGGAGGGGGTGGGAGTGGCGACTGCACAAGCTGGCGGCTCTGGAGAGAAGATGGGACTGAGCTGGGGATGCACACAGACCACCAGGACAGAGGCGCGGAGGAGCCCCAAGCGCACTCCGTCCCCTCCCATGAAGGTCAAGTGTACCCGAGGTGTTTGCCCTACCCGCCTTGAGGGTGTCTGCAGAAACGCCACGTGCTGTTTATGAGTATCAGAAAGGGGCGTGGCCAAGTGGATGCTGAGTGGTGGACAGCTCGGGGCCTCTGGGGCCAAGAAAGAGCCAGGAAGTAGGAGATGCAGCAGCTGGCCCCGCCCACTGCCTCCCAAGCCTCCACCTTCCCACACCCCGTCCTCACCCCCGTCACCCCCCCCGTCACCCCGTCACCCCCCCCCCGTCACCCCGTCACCCCCCCCATCACCCTCTGCACCATTGCTCCGGGTTACCTTGTGTCGCGGTCCCCTCTTCATTCCCCCAGCTTTGCTCTTGATACTGTGCTGAGCACCACTCCCCTGGGGGGTCCAGGCCTATGGCCGCCAGGGTCTGTGCTCCTTACTCTGCCTCATAGCTGAGGCACTTGACATTGGGGGGGGGAGGCGGGCAGGCCCTGGGCTTGTCACCCATTAACTTGCCTCAGTTTACTATCTGGCCAACAGGTAAAGTTGGACACTTCCAGGGAGGATGCTGAGAGGCCCATACTGCCCGGGAAACTTGTGAGGCCCAGCAGACCACAGGGGCCCCAGGAAGCCTCCCTTCCCAGGGGACAAGAACCCCCTCTACTCTTCCCCATGGCAACAGCTGCTGCCTCCCCCTGGACTGGAGGAAGCTTGGGCTGAGTCATGGGCTCAACTGGGAACATGACAGGGCCTCCTGCAGGACAATGGCTCCCGTCCAGGCTTAGTGGGAGGCCGGGTGAGCGTGGGGCAGAGGAGGGCCAGGCACCTCCTCCCAGGATTTACATCTGGAGCCCAAACTGGGAAAGGCACAGGACTTGGCCCAGGAACTATCAGGCCCTTCCGGTACCAGCTTAGGCTGACCTCAGGGCCTTAACAAGCACGGCCCCCGCCCTTCCCTGAACTTGCTGAGGGCATTCTACTAACCTGCCTGAGGTTATTAGGTCTGGTAAGGAGGCAGGTAGAGTCCGGAGAGTGGGGGGGCGAGGGGGATCTGTGTTGGCACAGGGAGGTGTAAGGGAACTGGCATAGCCCCCCCCCACTACAGGGGGCCCAGAGAGAGTGAGGGGAAGAAAGCCTCTGGCCCAGCCCCACCTGAAAGACTGAAGGGAGCTTGAAGGGAATGTGGAGGGCAGGAGATGAGAGAGCAAAGTAGTTCGTTCGGGGCTTATCTGGGAGGTTTGGAGGAGGTAGAGAGCCAGGAGCCTGCCCTTTCCTGGCATCACTCTGCCTCCCTGGGCCCCTTCCCGTACCCCAGCTGTGTGTGTGGTGGAGGAGCGAGGGTAAGAGTGCGCGTCAGCAGGCCTGCCGCAGTCACCTCACCTCCCAGGGCCTGAGTCTCCCCCCCCCAGCAATGCTCACCTTTCCTAACCCCAAGAACAGCCACCGCCATCGTCACCTGTGGTTGGCTTTATTACATTGTCATTGTATGACAGAATGTATGAAATGGGAAGACAGTACTCATTTCTAGGAGTGATGCGGGCTGACCACAAGCAGGGCTGTGCAAACATCCTAGGCAAACCTACGTGTGAAGAATTGTCCTGTGTAGTCATTTCCCAGTGGTCCCCTCCAGGGACAGAGCAGCAGTGAGACCACAAGCAGGGACAGTAGCTGGGTTGGCCCGAAGAACCCCACGCAGCAGAATGCACCTGGACTCCCACACACACGTCCTGTGCTCTCCACACAGTTAGTGTGTCAGACCTACGCACACAGGCAGCTGAACAGAGCCAGTTACAAACACACACAAGCTCTCACTTAATCTTAGCTTCACAGTAACCGCGCCGAAGACCACGAGTCCAGTGTTGACTCAGGGCAGATTCCCTGCCCGGGGAAAGCAGGCATGAAGGAAAACCAACATAGCGGTGTTCCGCCTGCTCATTTGTAGTACTGTAGATACGCAGACAGACAGACAGACACACGCACGCACAACACCTCAGGTCACCAGTCACCAGTGGAGTCAGAAGCCGGGACATTATCGCCTCTTCTCCAGCTCTCTAAGCTCTCTGAACTGCAGCCTGTCCTGGACCCCAGACTTGGAGCATCACAGACAGGCGCCAGCTTCCCAGGCCAGCCACGGACATACTGCGAGAGCACAGAGGGGGCTAGGAGACGAACAATGGTTCTGTCCACCTTGGGGAGACCAACTGTCACATCACTCCAGAGCAAGCAGACAAATAAATACGTCAAGTGTTAGAAGACACAATGACTTAGACTTGGCCCACCTCTGTCCTCTGGGCCTTTTGTAATCATCAGAGACAGCCTGTTGGGGGGTGGGCAGGCTGTTTCAGGCAGCTCTACCACTTGCTGAGGCACGGTTGAGGCTACCCCCTTCCTGAAGCCATCAAGGTTCTGGGACAGCAAGGCTTGCTTGGGGAGCGAGTGGCCAAAGTAAGGGGGCCCATACCCAGCAGAGGCAGGGGGTGCAGCCCTTCACATTTCGCGGGTACCAGCCTTCCCCAAGGCTGCAAAGAAGGCAGTGCCTGCCTCCCCTGCCTCCCCGTGACAGCTGCTCCTTCTCCTGCCCCACAGCAAACACTGCTCCTTTTCAGCTGGGCAAGCTTTGGTCTTGTGTTTGGTGCCTGGGAATGGCTACAGCTCCAGGGAGACCCTTGGACAGCGGGAGAGTGTGACTCCCAGGGTCAGGACCGCTGGGACAACATTAGTTTCAAGACGCCAAGCGCGGCTCTTGACAGGATCTGCCATTTCCAGCCCTGTGACCCCAAAGGGACACTGAGGGTCTTCACCCAGTATCAGACATATGGCGGCCTTGAGAGGGCCTTTGATGTAAAGAGAATCCATTTCCAAATGTCCCTTCTTTGCCCCAAGTTCCCTCCGTTCCACCCTGGTAACAGTCTCCAGGGACACCCAGCTCTAGCCACCCTCTCGATGCTCCAGGGTCCCCGCTGGAGCTGTGCCTCCTGCAAGGCCAGCTGTGTCTCTATGGCCCCTGCTGGTTCTTGTGCCCCAGGCCTTCTTAACAGGGGTCCCTGCTGCCACTCACCGGGAGTGGCCTGCTCACTCGGTGCATTAGACACTTGCCTTAATGACTTTCTTGACTAGCGAGCCATTCCACGATGGCACCACGCACACAGGGACACTGTGGAGTATCGGGAAAACCGTTACCTCACACTGAGAAGCCTAGGCCCAGTGAATAGGCAGGTGGGACGCCCCTGGAACCTTGCTGGATAGGACACTGAGGGAGACAGGCTGGGTACAACCTGTGCTCAGGGGTGAGGTGGAGAGTGGAGAGGAGGGGGAGGAAACCCATCCAAAACCCAGCAGCACTCATTCAGGTTGGCGGGTGGAGCCTTCCACCCGCCTGGGCTGCTTCTTCTGTCCCAAAGTCCCATCCAGAAGTCCCTGCCATGTCCCTCCCCTAACCTTGGGGATACAGAGAAAAAACTCTTCACACCAGCAAGGACTTGACAAGGCCGTAGTGGAACTTGCGGACATGGCGATAGAGGTCCCCAGACTGAGTGAACCGGCGCTCACACCAGCGGCAGGCATGGGGTTTCTCCCGTGTGTGGACCACAGCATGCCGGCTCAAGTTGTGTGAGTACTGGAAGCTCTTGCCACACTGCACGCACGTGTAGGGCTTCTCCCCAGAGTGTGTGCGTTCGTGCCTCTTCAGGGTATATGTGCAGGAGAAGGTCTTGCTGCAGAGTGGGCATGTGGGCACCGCGCCCTCGGGAGAGAGCCTGGTACGGACGCTGTCCCGATCCCGGAAGTGGGCGCTGAGATGCAGCTGCAGTGCATGGGTGCTAGGGAACAGCTTGCAGCACAGCGGGCAAATGCAAAGGTGCCTGTTGGGACCCAGCTCCTCACTGCCCATCAATGGCTCTGCATCCAGCCCAAGCTGCTGGCTGCCTGTTCCTGAGTCGTTCAGCGGCTCCAAGTCCACAGCCAGGCCTTGGGCTGCAGAAGCACAGACTGGAAGTGGGGATCTGTTAGCGCTCCGTGGGCTGCTGCTATCTTGTTCAGAGAGTGAATCTTGCTCAGCCTTCACCAGAGGCTGGGCCCCTTGCTGCATGGAGTTGCAGAAGGTTGTCTGGAGGGTACAGGGTGGGTGGACCTGCTCCGGTCTTGGACCAGGCTTCAGTGACAGGTCCAGGGCCCCACTTGACTCCCCTGTGACCTGCCAAGATGGAGGTCCAAATGTTGGCAAGGGATGGACAGCCTTGACCCCTAGAGATGGGGGTTTGGCTTTTGGTGCGGCTTGACAGAAGTCAGGGGACCAGGAAGGCAGGGAGTGTGGTGGCTGAACAGGAAGCTCTATCCCAAGAGCGCGGGTCTCCAGATCTGGGTCTTTCTTCCTAAGCCTGCCCTTGCAGACCTTGACGATGTCATACATATGTAGGTAGCTGGCAGCAGCCAGGACGTCCTCGACAGGCAGGCTGTGCAGGTCCAGGCGGCCCTCGTACATGAAGTCCAGCAGGCGGCTGAAGGCGGGCACCGTGACGATGTCGCCGTTGAGCCGCACCGTGTCGCGGCTGCTCGCGGGCTGGTCCCTGTAGAAGAGATGGAAGTAGACACTGCACGCGGCCAGTACAGCGCGGTGCGCAGGGAAACGCGCGTCGCCCACCAGGACAGTGCAGTCGCACAGGAAGCCCAGCTCGCGCTGCTGCCTCAGGCGGCCCAGCAGCCGTACACCGTGCTCCGGGAACTCCATGCCACCGCAGTCATCACCTGAGCACAAACGGGACGCCTGTCAACACGCCGGGGATGCCGTGACCGCCGCTAGCCCCGACGCGCCCTTCCCGGGTGCAGGCAGCGCGCAGAGAGAGCGGGAGTGACGCGCGCAACCGCCAACCCCGAGCTGCCCGGGCACCTGCCCGGAGCAGGAAAAACTCGATCGAAAGTAAACAGAAGCCGCTCTGCCGCCGGGGCGGGGCTCGAGGCGCAGCGGAGGGGCCGAGCCGCGCGGACAGAAGTCGGGACTTCAGGCTGCCTCGCCCGCCCGCCCCCCTGCCCGCCTGCCGCGCCCCCCGACGCCGGAGTTGCCGCCCGCCCGCGCCGCCGCCAGCTGCCACCGCTGCCGTCGGCCCCATTTATGGCAGCGCGGCCGCGGGGAGCGGCCGGCGCGGCAGGCGGAGCCGAGCACCCGCCCCATGCGCTCACCTCCGCCGCACGCGCTGCTACCCGCTCCCACTGCAGCCTCTCCGTACGGACCGCACGGAGCAGCGAGCGCTGCGCCCCGGCCGGCCGGGAGGGCGCGGGGACCCGGACGGCGCCGGGCGGGGCGCTCCCCAACTTGGCCGGCTGGGCAACGCCTGCTGCTCGCCCCGCCCCGGAGAGCGAAACTCCCGGCTGGGGCAGGAGGGGGCGGGCCAGGCGACTTCCCGGAGCTGCGGAACCGCTGAGGTCACCTCGCTACCCCTTCTCTGTCCGCCCCACCCGGTCGGCCCCGCTAGAAGCTAGTGCGAGCTCTGTGGCGGGCGGGGGCGCGGGACCCTCTCGCGATACTTGTTTCCTGGGCCTCTGTGCCCTCCGTGGGGTCCGGACTGCCCCGGTGGACAAAGGGACACCTCCCTGGCGTCCGCTTCTCCCTGGACCAGTACACTCGAGGTTGCTGATGGCTTAGCCAGGGCAATAACCTCAGACACCTTTGGATGTACACGGGTCAGGGCGCTTACCGGGAGACCGCCAGTCTCAAAAAAGAAATCACTTCTTTGCAAGCATCCTCCCGGGCTAAGGTTAACGTAGCGGGGACAGGCTGAGGAGCTGGGGTCTCTAGCACAGGATTAGGGCCCGCTGCAGGCCTTGGGCTGGCAGGCATGCACACTGTCAGAGGGCACTGGATAGGGGCAGATATGGTGGGATGGGTGTAAGACACAACCAAAGAGCAGCAGCGCGAGACCTCCAGAGTTACGCAGGCAGGCCACACGATGTGTTAGAGGGGTGACATGGAGAAAAGTCAGGGCTGGCACCCTGGTTAGGGTGTTCCAGCGGGAGTCGGTCAGGAAGGTATGAGTGAGCGAAGACACCTGGTTCTTGTGGGGCAAGGAAACCGGTTTGGAGGGCTTGAGGGTGCCCTGATGCCTTGGGAAGTCTTCTCTCCCAAGGGTGAGTGTGGAGGGGTATCCTCGACTTGAGACATTGCTCCGGTCAGCTTCACAAGCCTGTCAATTAAATGCTCTCGTTTAGGGTTCTGGGCGGAGGGAAGGCTCACGTAGTACTAAATTGCAGGGCCTGGGTTCCTATGGGGCTAGGCCCATTCAGAATTTTCAACTTGCATTTGCTAGAAGCCCAGGGACCAAGACTGTTGGGTGGACGGAAGGCAAGTGTGAAGGTGGTCTTGTGCAAAGTAGGGTGTCACCATGGGCTGGGTTACAGTGGGTAGGGCAGAGGTCAGGCGCTTGGGTAGAATAGCCAAAGGCATTTTGTGTGTAGGGGGTTTGCTTGCTCCTTAGATGTGCAGAACAGAGTGGCCAGGTGTGAGGTAGAGACTCCTGGCCGTTGGAGAGAGCCTCCAGAGTCCTGTTCAAAGCTCATGGATTGGAAGCCTAAGGGGTTGGCAGGGTCCCTGGAGGGCTTAGATTCCACAGGGGGAGAAAACCACATTGTTACACGAAATGGGGGCCAAAGCAGGGGTATTTTGAGTTCTAGACCAGCCTAAGCTATATGGCAAGGCCCTGACTCAAATTCCCGTCCTGGAAAAAAAAAGTGTATCTGAAATGCAAATTTGACTGATTGTATGAGTTATTCCAAGGAATGCAGAGACACAGTACATTTACCCAGGCACAGTACAGCTGCCGGGCTGCAGAACTAGGCTGTCCTCAACCTAGGAGCCTTGCCTGAGGAGGGCCAGCTCCCTCCTCTGTTCCCTGATCGGCCTCAGCAGGAATGGCCCATATCGTGTATTTATTCGGGGTAAGCCCAGACAAGACTGACCCTCTCTGAGACTGCCTGGGCCAGAGTTTGCCTCTGCCTCAGCTCCTCCCACTGCTAGTGTGAGTCTGAGCCCTTAGAGCAGGGCTTCTCAACCACTTCCAAATGTTGCAATGCTTTAACACAGTCCCGCAAGCTGTGGGGTGGCCCCCAGCCATAAAATCATCTTTATGGCTATTTCATAGCTTTGCTGCAGTTACAAATCCTAATATCCATGTTTTCTGATGGCCTTAGGCGACCCCCTGTAAGTCTTTTTGAGAGCCACAGGTTGAGAACCACCGTCCTATAGCCTTAATAACTCCCATCGACAACATGGAAACCAGAGTACACTCTAGGGTCTAAGAAAATTAACTTTGGGGAGTGACATACTATGAGGCCACAGGCCTTTAGTTCTGGAATGTTCTTTCCCCCTAGTCCCCATCCATCTGTGGCTCCTCTTCAGCCCTGTCTTTGTGGGGTCATCCCTTTAGCTAGAGTTGTCCTCCTAGCCCTCTGACCTGCAACCCATTCTCTATTCCTGTTTGGCCCTGCATAGGGAGTCAGAGGTAGTCAGGCAAGGTGCATGTGCGCGTACGTGCGTGTGTGTGCGCGCGCGCGTGTGCGTGCACGGATGGATCTTGGCCTGCCACAGAATGGTTTTGAGAAAATAGTGGCTGGATGTTGAAAATTGACACCAACCAGCCCCCTTGTCCCTCTGCCTCCACGCTGGACATTGAGCAGTGCCCCAAAGCCTGGCCCCTTGCTTGTTCAACACGGCTTTTAGAGCAGAGAAGCTTTAGAGTCCAAAGACCTATAGTGACCTGGCAGAGCTTCGGGGGTCACACCACATTGCTCAGGCACTCCAAGACCCTTCTCCACCAGCCAGTGGTCTGTGGCATACTGTCCAAAGTCCCAGTCCAGGTGGCACAGGCAGAACCTCTCCAGCTTTGGGGTCCTACCCTGCAGCCGATGCCCAGACCTCTTAGCGCAGGGCTCAGGCACTTGAGTCCTATGCAGCTGCTGGCAGCTGCAGGAGGGGACAGGAAGAGGACCTCTGTGCCTGGCAAGGAGGTCAGGACCACGGTTTTTGTTGGAGAGCATGTCACTGGCAAGTCGCTGTAAGGCGTGCTCCTCACCTGTGGCACTGCCTAGGAGACCCCAGAAGGGCGTTGCTAAAGTGTGGATCCAGAAGAGGGCCTTGTGCACTCTGTCCGCAGGAAGACCCTGGCCACGCGGGAAGGTAGAGAGACAAGGAAGGCAGGAATGGGTGCTGCATAGAAACGGTTCACCGCAGGTAGGTAGGAGTGCTTCCAGAAAGAGAACCCAAAAGAGAACAGCCTGGAATTGCTATGTCTTCCACAAGAGGGCGCCCTGCTGGCTCGCAGTGGCCACTCCCCACTGCTCAGCCCTGTGTGGCACCGGGGTTGGGGAAGCAGGGGAGGAGGACCGGGGGCCCGGGGTGAAAGTTTGCTGGGTGAGTGCTGGACTTGTGCGTCTGTGACTCAGTCTCCGAGGGTAGCCCTCAGGTCGGGGGTACAGCTGGAGCAGCGCAGACCCGCCGGGCTCAGCGCCCTGGAGGTGCTCAGAGCTGGGGCAGCTGTGCTGCAGAAAGGGCGCAGAACCGACGCCCCCCGCTTTGCCCCTGCCCCGCGGGCGTGCGCCTCCTGCCGAGAGGACGGTTTTCCCAGAGAAGGCGCGCTTCCTAAGTCAGACCCCTCCGAGGCAGAGAAGAAAGGCCGATTTTAGCCGTTCTGCACTAAATCTATCCTGTTTACACTCCAGGTGAACTCTGACCCTTGGATGAAAAACAAAAAAAAAAAAAAAAAAAAAATGCCCCCTCGGAAAAAATACCAAACACGTGAAGGTAAACTCACAAAAGGGTTATTATCAGATGGGCCTCAGGGATGAGGGAGGGGCTCTGAGCAGGAACTGCTGGGGCAGGCTGAAGGGGCTGAGCCGAGGATGGGTTAGAGGCCACCTTGACTCTTCAATTCCGGGACACCACAAGGAACCGCCCCCGCCCTCATCCTCCCGCCCCTCCCTCCCGAGCCTCGCCCGCCCGAGTCCACTGCGAGGTCTGGGCTGCCTGAGCTCTACCCGAGTCTGCCCCCAACAGCACACTGGTCCCCCTGGATGCCCAGGTGTGTCCCCTGCTCCCTGTCACCTGCCGAGTCCCCACCGGTTTCTGTGCAGACAGTACCGAGTCCAATGAGCCCCGTAGCCTGCCTTCCCTAGGACCCCGGTGGCCGGGCTGTGCCGGCGCCCCAGACCGGGAGGGACAGTTGGGCCTCGAGAAAGTCAGAGCGCTCCGCGCCCCGCGCCGGCCTCCGTGGGGTCTGGAGGGCAGGAGCCCGGCCGCCCGCAAACCGGGGAGCCTAGGCCGGAGCCGGAGCCGGAGCGGCGGGGCCCCGTTACCCGCGTGGCCCTGGCTTGGGGCCACCCGAGGGCGGCGCCTGCGGGGCCGCGCTCGCGCTCGCGGGGTGCCTCGCCCTGGCCGCGGGCCGCGCCGGGGGCGCCCGGGGCGGCGGAGGCGGATGTGGGCGGGCGGCGCGGGCGCGGGGCGGGGAGAAGGCGGGCCGGCGGCGGCGGCGGCGGCGGCGGCGGCAGCACCGAGGCGGCGGCGGGCGGGCGGCGGGCGGCCCAGCGCGGCAGCGCACGCGAGTCCCGGACAGGCGGAGCGGACCGAGCAGCGCCCGGCGGCCGGCACCGCGGCGGCCTAGACCCGGCCAGCAGCGCGCGCCCGGCCGCCGCTGCCTCCAGCCGGCCCCGCCCAGCGCCCGCCCGCGGGATGCGGAGCGGCGGGCGCCCGAGGCCGCGGCCCGGCTAGGCCCCGTCGCCCGCACGCGGCGGCCCGGTGAGTGCCCGCGCCGCGCCCTGTTCCGGGCCGCGGCCACCTCGCTTTGTTCCCGGCCGCGCGGCGCCTCGGAGCGGAGCGGAGCGGAGCGGAGCGGAGCAGGAAGTGGCCGAGCGGAGGCCTGGGCGGGGAGCGCGCGGGGCCGGGCTGATCGCGCAGGAGGCCCACGCCGGCGAGGGTGCGGGCGGCCGCCGCGTGACCTTGGGTGGCCGGGCCGCGGGAGAGGGGGCGCTGCTAGCGTGCGCAGCGGGGCCCGGCGCGCCCCGGGGCCTGGGGCTGCCTGGGCACTGGGCCAGCGAGGGTAGGGGAAAGGCTCGCCCCGCGGCCTGCGAGTGGTGGGAGGGCCCTGGGAAGGAGAACTCATTTCCCACGGACGGAAAGTTGTGCGCGGTGGCACTGTGCCCAGGCTAGCCCACAAAGGACTGCTAGCCCTCCTGGGTCCGGAAACTGCTTCCTGGACTAGGTGGCTTCTGGAGGCGCTGGGGCCTGGAGGACGCATGGGCTCGACCTCTGGGATCCCGGATCCTGGCCGAGCTGATGGATTTGTCTGGAGGAGTGGTTTCTAAGTTACGTGGTGGTGGAACCTAGCTCTGCCCCGTGGCCAAACTCCTTCACTTCACCCCCACCCCCAGGCCTCCGGTCTTGCCTCAGGTGGCTAGCCTTGACTTCTTAGAGCCATCACTCAAGTGAAGGGCCAGTCGCCTTGGTGGGGCCCCAGCTGGGTGTGTGGGCCCGGTGTCCCAGACGGACTGATCTCTTAAGACTTAACAATAGCAACCATATGCCCTTACGGCAAAGCCCTCCAGGGTCGTGGAGGGAAGAAAGTCCCATGCGCAGGGCTGCTCGGTGTGGACATTGGTTAACCTCGCTGTGTCCCTTCACTCCATGCATACGAATTTATTTTTACATGGCTCGGGACAGCTGACTGTCACCAGCAGACCTTGGGTCTGGGTGGGGGTTGGGGGGACATCCAGAGAGAGTCTTCCAGGCTAACCCTCTGCCTCCAGGCCACACCCACTTGGACAGCGATCATGGGGGTTCCTTCTTGGCTTACCTTTTTCTTTCTGGGTTTCCATTGCCACCTGCTTGCTAAGGGTAGGGTGCTTTCCTTCTTGGGCCAGGCGTGGTCTTTCCTACTCTGGCATTTGGCGTTTGACACATAGCAGGGCCTGAGTTTTGTTCCACGTTTAGCTTCAGAGAAGGCAGAGCGACAGTGACTCTGGGTGCTAGCTTGTGCCTTCTGGGCTAGAGAGGGTTGTCTGGCTCAGCTGTTGTAGACCCACAGTAGCCTTCTGGTCTTTGCTGGGCCTGTCCGCAGGAGCCCCGGGTGGAGGGGCAGCATAGGCTTGCTGGGAAAGAAGTGTTTAAATGCACTTTCTCTGCATGTCCAGAACTGGGGCTCGAGGGATGCCCAGGAGTTCCTCCTGCAGAGGAGCAGTGGTGTGGGGATCTGGCAGGATGAGCTGGCAAAGTGTGCTTTGACCTGGCTATCTGGTGGGCCACTGCAGGACCCTAGGTTTTTGTGTGTGGCCTGCCTCATTCATGTGTGGGCTGAATGCTGTAACTGTGGGCTGCCTAGAAGTCTCTTTGTCCGTGGTATAGAGTGCAGAAGGCTTGGCAAAACCGTAGAGGCCTAGTACATGCTAGCCCAATGAATGAAGCACCTTCAGGGGAACAGGCTGCTGCTGTGTTTGAGAGGGTCTGGGGTTTCGCCTGGGGACGTTTTTAATGTTTCCCCTTCAGACTCTGGGCTTTGCTTTATACCATTACCTACTCTACCTGTGCCTCTGCCGTGTTTACATTCCTGTATCCCTAGCCGAGCAGGCCGGAACCGTGTTGTGCATTAGGCATCCTAGGTTGTAGGTGAGAATTCAGGGACAAGGACAGTGAACGAGGACCCCTCGCTAGTGAGTGTGGGGCCGAGCAGAAGCTGTCAGGGCTGCTTGGAGGTGGACCGTTTGCTGGGGTAGCAAACTCAGCAGCTGCCTGTCAGGAAAGGCCTTGTGGGGATGGAATGTCCCAGCAGAGGCCAAGGAGGTTTGGGTTGGCCGTAGCCTTGCGTCCCAGACTACCAGGCCTGGATCTGGGTACTGGCGGTGGATCTTATACTGCCGTGTTTTGAGAGAAATCAGGCAGGATTTCTGGCGGAATAAGGGCGAGGAGGGAACCTGGGAACCAGAAGGGTGTAGATCGAATGAGGGGACATGGCTAATGGTGGGTGTGCTGGGGCTCACTAAAGCTGACCTTGCCTCACAGACTTTCTCGGCTTTTTCTAGACGCTGCGGCCAGGCCGGCTGGGCTCAGCCTACTGAGAAGATACTCTGAGCATCCCTGGGTTACCCCGGTCTGTGGGGGCCACGGATACCATGAACGACGTAGCCATTGTGAAGGAGGGCTGGCTGCACAAACGAGGTCAGTTCCTGCTCTGCAGGAGAAGCAGAGCTGCGCTTGGGTCTGCCCAGCTCCTGGGTGTGGAACTGGGGGCTGCACTGCCCTAGCAGGCCGCTTTGTGGCCGTGTCAAAGTGCTTGCTGTGTCCGGGCCTGCTGGACGGGAGCGGCACCTCCCCACCGTGGGGCTCTAGGCCTGCCGCAGGAGGAGTATGCAGGCCCAGCTTTTCCCATAGTGTGGAGGTCATGGCCTCCTCCTGGGGCCTCTTGGCCAGAGGCTGAGGCCCTGTGCAGGGCTTGCTTTGCCGGCTTGGGGGTGGGGCCAGCTGCTGCCTCATTCCTGGCTTTCCTGGAAGGCAGCAAGGACATGGCTGCTGTTCCAGGGCTGGCAGGCTGGTAGCCTGGGCACTGCCCAAGGGCTCCTGAGGGCAAGCAGGGCAGGCCTGCTCCGCTTGGCCCGGTGCCACCTCAGGCCTGGATTCCTGAAGTCAGGGGGCTCCTCATCAGCAGGGCCCCGGCGGGGCCATATTGGCATTAGAACCGTCCCGAGGCTCAGGGTCCCTCACCCTCCAGCTTACCCAGCAGCTCCCTCTGGCCAGGAGTAAGTTTCAAAGCCACTTCTCCAGGACAGTCAGGCATCTCAGCCCCTCCTGACTTCCTCTTCCTGTAGACCTGCTCCCACCGGAAGTCCTAGTGACCCTTGCCGATGCTCGTCACCCTCCCGCTCCTCCTGGCTCTGTAGCACAGGGAGTTGTGATCTTGGTACCGAAGAGGCCCAGACACAGAAGATGGAGGGTGGGGTCAGAAGTTGGTGTTAGGACATGAGGTGTCGTGGGCTATGTAGCGCTCCAGCAGAGAAGGCCTGAGAGCCTCAGGAGCTAAGGGAGGTGGGGGTGATGTCGGCGGATGCGGGTTCAAGGGGACCCGGAGAGCTCAAGCAGGGACGGTAGATGTGGTTAACTGTGTTGAGGAATCTCAGTGTGGCAGCTACAGGGAAGACGGTGTGCTGGACTCTGCACCCCTTGTCTGGCTGCAGTCTGTTCCTGCCCCTGCCTCCCTCCCCAGTGCCTCCGTCCCCAGCCCCCTGGGAGTTCTGCCTCCCGAGCTCAGATCCCTGCCTGGGTCATGCTCTACTTTGTGCATCATCTGTCAGCCTTCTTTGGAAGTGGGACTCGTCCCCCTTGGCTCCTGTTTCTCCCCTACCCTGGCGGTACCCAGCCTGTTTCATGGGCAGGTGTGTCGTGTATGGCTGTCAGAGTTGAGGCCAATCGAGAGATTGCTGGGCCTCAAGTTACTGGGACATTCCCCAGGCAGCAACCCTTCTGAGGCCTAGGAGGTGTTATATTGCTCCTTAAGGCTGAGCCTTCTGAAGGGTCCAGGTGGAACAGGACATTGGGCCCTCTGGACATGCAGAGGCTGTGTTTGAACCTGATTTGTCAGTTCTGTCATTGTCCCTGTCCAGGAAGGGGCCCTTGAGTTCCTTAGGCCTTGACTCCACTTTTACGGCATGGAAATAGAAGTAGGTGAGGTGTGGAAACTATTATCTGTGGGATGGTACCTACTGGTGGACACCTGTCTGTGGGGTAGGGGGCTTCCCTGCCTCGGGCCAGAAGAGACAGGTGTTAAGGCGCCTGATGGGGAAGATGGCGTCCATGTGTCATTTTTGTTCTATGTCCTGCTCTGGCCTCGTCACGTCCTGTTGCTTGGCTTGCTGTTGCTTGCTAAGAAAAGTCTCTTAGTAACCCTCACTTTTCTAAATACCCCGAGCCATGTATGCTGTGGGCTCCAACGCAGGCGTGCATAATTCGTTTAGGGTTCTAGCTCTTTCCCTTGGATTGGGTCCAGAGCATGTAAGGTGGACCTCCCACCTAAGGCTACTCTGACTTGGCTGGGGTAGGCAAGGAAGGAAGGAAGGCTACTACAATTGTCCCTACAGGTCCCATGATCCCTTGGACACCTGGGTACCCCCTACGTCCCCCACTTTGTTGACTCTGTAGGTTGGAGTACTGCTGACTGGGATTGAACCCATCCGGTAGGCCTCCTGTGTCCAGCCAGGGGCTTGGATGAACTCCCAAGCTCCCCATGGGCTGGCTGGCCATACCTTCAGGACTAGTCGTGCGTACAGAGAGGATGGTCTCCCCCTCATTCCATGTCTGCAGACCCCAGTCCAGGGTTCTCTTACCCCTTGGAAGCTCACCCCTTAGAAAGTCCCCAAACCATTTTTTGGGAGCTCTGACTATTTGTGCTGTGTGCCAGAGGGTGTCCAGCCAAGGGCCAGAGCAGACATTGTAGCTATGTGTTGATCATTTGGACCTAAAGGCCTCTGGCCATCCATCAAGGGAGGGGCCCATAGACTTCTGGAAGACAGTGGGCTTGACCTAAGGATGAGCTAGAAGCAAGTGGCTGGTCTGTCACCTAGGAGGGTGGACATGTCAGGGCACAGTGCTGCTTCTATAACCCCAAATGCAGAGGTTTGGGGTCAGTGAACTCTGACAGTGTTTTGGTGGCCAACCTGGGGTTAAGTTGCAGGTGTGGCTGAATTTGTCTGTGACCTCTGATTTCAGTCCTCAGATTGCAAATGAGCTCTGTGCTAAGGCCACAGGCTTGGTCATGTTACCATTTTGGGTTCCCCCAAATCCCCGATGCCCGCTGGGCTGCCCTGTAGCCTTCTACGTAGTGACATTAGCCATTATGTGTGTCTCCCAGGCCACAGCAGGTGGGTAGAGCAGGTGGGTCAGGAGAAACAGGATACTGGCACAGTGGGTGAGGCAGTTGGTAGCATGTACCAGCTGTAGGGCCAGCTTGAAGACTCACTCAGCAAACTGGTATTTGAGGACCCACAAGGCTAGGAGCCACCTAGCTGTTCTCACTGGGTCGGTAGCTGTCTGGTACAGGAGGTTCAGATGGGGTGGGGGAAGGTGGCATATGGTTTGGTGCTCTCTGGCTTTGGGTCTGGGTCAGTGAGAGCTGAGCTCATGATCTCTGGGGGGCCGGCATTTAGGGACAGGGGTGGTGCTGTGTGGGGACTGAGCCTGAGAGAGGTAAGCATGTGGCCCCCACTAGAGAACTGGACAGAGGGTGGCAGCTGAGTGCCCCAGGCACACCCATGG